GGGGCATAGAGTTTCCCAGAGTGGCCACCAGGGAAACCTGGAGAGGGCTAGCCTCCCACTAGTTCGAATTAAGGGGCTACACAGCCCTTAATTCGAACTAGCTAGTTCGAACTAGGCTTAATCCTCGTAAAATGAGGTTTACCTAGTTCGCCTATTAAAGTTAGTTCGAACTAACGTCTGTTAGTTCGAACTAACTTTGTAGTGTAGACATACCCTTGGTGAGTGGATTCTCCTGTGTTTCAGGTCCAAATTCACAGGCAGTTCTGTGAGGAGTGTAATTTGGTGTAACTTGCATTTGACAGTGGTAGAGGAAGGCATACCACTACAGCAACTTGCATTACCAGTGTGTAACTACATATGCTACCTATGACCAGTGGTCATTACGTGCGCCCAGTCCACACTACACAGAGAACATGAGTCTGTTAGAGAATGTCTACACTACATCTGGGGGCATCCTCTCAGTTTGGGGAGACAGATACATGCTTGAGCTAGTGTGCTTGAGCTAGTGTGCTAAAAACAGTAGAGTGGACATGGCTGGCACAGGCTCCTTGCCCCAGTATGGACCCCGGGTGAGGTAGGACTGCATTTGGGTGACTAGTGTGTGCTGCTGTCTGTGCCACCACATCCACTTTGCAATACTCAGCTTGCTAGTTCAAGCCCAGCTAGTGTGTATCTGTCTACCTGGGCTGGGAAGCACACTGCCAGCTGCAGTGTAGACACAACTCTTACAGCCTTCTCCAGAGGCTGGCTCTAGCTCAAGCTATGTCCTAGTTCATAATGCAGCTTGCTTGACTTAGCTCGAGTTATGGCCTATTATCGGCTTAACTCTGTAGGTCCCTGGTTCAATCCCTGGCTCTGTCAAGACAGCAGCTGTTATGGTATCAACTCTGAATTTAGCCAGCTGGAAACTACAGTGCAGAAGAATTTAAGGTATGGTACTAACTCTCTGGCAGGACACAAAAGCCATGTCTATACTATGTGGAAGGTTGACTCTGCCACAGTTGATCTCCAGGTGTAGTACAGACCTGCTAAATGAAACACAGAGTATGCCCCCATTGACGCTGGTACTCCTGCTCCTCACAAGGATAAGGGAAGCTGATGGGAGCGTTTGTAGTGAAAGAATAAGGAGTTTACATTAAGCCAGCTATAATACCAACTTCACTGCAACTTCTAATTTCCTTTTGGCTCCTTTCAACCAGTAAGGACTGCCTTGTGATCATCTGAACATTGATAAATGGATACAATAGATTTATGAAGTGGGCATGTAGTACTGTGAGCTAGGCTGCCTCACATCATCTCTGAAAAGGAGTTCAGTGACACCTTAAAAACTAACAGGTTTATTTGGGTATAAGCTTTCGTGGGTAAAACCCTCTTCATCCGATGCATACTAATCTCTAAAGTTAGCCCATGCACTGACTGAGTCAGCAGTGGGGGAGGTACAGCAGGCACAGGAAGGAAATGGTATAATAAACAGGATTGCAGTACGAGAGGTGACTACTCTGAAAAAGTAGCAAAGCCAGAGTAATAGAGGTGTGCATATTACAGCCAACAGCAAGTAATGAACAGTGTTCAGTGGTTAAATACACAATAAAAAGGTGAGGACCCTTAAGGGACACTTAAACAAGGTTTCCTTTTTCTTGTTTTTTTCTTACTAGTTAAACCTGAGATGAAAATTGTAAAATAGATTTATTTTTTCCACTGCTTTGTTTCCTTTTGGTGCTTCGCTCAGTTTGAGAAATAGAATTATATGGATCATTGGCTTAATTCAGTGGCCACCAGTAGATCTTGGAGACTCTGACAGGTGATCCTGACTGGTTTGGCCAGGAAGCTATTAAGCGCTGGCACTTCAGGTGCCTTTCCACCTACTGTCATGCTGCTCCTGCCCTCTGTCTTGGAGCGGCCCCCCTGGCAGCCTCCTGCTTAATGTGCACGGTGTGGGAGGAAGAAGAGCAAGGGAAACTGAAGTTGGGGTATCCCTTCTCCCCCCACTTCTGCACCCTATCTCCACACATAGGGAAGAGGATGGAGGAATCTTGGCAATGCAAATCTCTGTCACTGTCACACTGTGTGTGTCTCTGTCATTCTCACAAACACACACTGTCCTTCACTCTTATCTCCTGACCCAACACATACGTGGGGGGTTGTTGTTACTACTTTTACTGCTTGCAAAGGGTGTTATTTTTTGGGTGTTGACTGTCCCTGCCCTGAATCTCCTCCTACACCCAGCCTCCTGCCCCTTACATGAGTCCCCCTGCATGCTAACTCCTTCCCAGGGCTTGCACCCTGAAACTCCTCCTGGACCCCAATCTCCCACCCTGGGCTAAGCCAGGAGCCCCTCCCACACTCCAAACTCCTTGGCTCAAGACCAGAGTCTGCATCCCAACCCCCTACCCCAGCCTTGTGAAAGTGAGTCGGAGGAGGGTGGATGAAGTGAGCAGGGTGAGGCCTCAGAGAAGGGGTGTATCAGCATCGGAGCCTTGAAGAAGGGATGAGAAGGAAGTGGGGCACGGGTATTTGGATTTGAGGTAGATCTTAAATTGCACTTAAATTGAAAAAGTGATCTTGTGTTTAAAAAGATTGGAGACCATTGGCTTAATTTTGTAGTCATTTTTGTATTGCCATTCACACCCAGCTGAACCACAAACACTCCGAGTTTTTGCTGCTTCCTGGAACTGCCCAAAGAAGAACAAGAACATCTTTTGCAAAACCATTTCACTTCATAATAGGATTTGTAACTATTCTTCTCATCAGCACCGTTTTTCTTTTGATCAAATCTAGCTTTGAATTCACTGGAGAGAGGCATGTTTTAATGGTCTGATCCACAAAATGACTTTTGATCTCAGCCCTCCTGGCTTCTGTAGCACTGA